AAAAGGGAGGCGTGTGAGCTATGGACACCCACATTCCAGTTGGTGGGGTTGCAAGCTGGATCGCCGTCCTCCACAAAAGTAGCCATGTTAAAGTGTGTCAACTACCATGCGATCAAGCAACGCCGCCAAGTCAAGACGTAAGCCAGAGCGGGGCAGGTCTTGGGTAAGTGGAGAAAAAGAGTCGTTCAAAAGCAAGCGGCAATCACACAGAAGGCAGGATCTGCAGCGATATTCCTCATGAAAAGATCAAGGTCAATGCAATAGTTTCGGCGTCAAACTTACGCCCATAATCTCATGACGCTGATATGCGGCTTGTTCAGGGGTAGGAACGGGGACTTGGTTCGTGGCGCATGGCATTTTGCTCCATTCGGCGCGACAGGCAGCCTGCGTTTCGTGGCGCTGGACTGTCACGCACCACGGGTCAAGCCAGCCCTCGGCGCCGCGGGGCTGCACTCCAGTGAGCGCTCTGTCACACACGTATTGTGTGACGGTGGCCCGGCCCTTTGGACAGGTCTACCCAATCAATCGAGCAAAAGTTGATTCAATATTCACAAGATCAAGATCGTGAGTTCAGTCGCGTGCTCCCACCAGCGCGAAATGCCATGAGCACTATCCCCAGACAGATCAAACACAAACATGCTTCTTCTCCTCGTCGAATGCCTGGCTCCCAGCTCTTGCTACCTCATGCCCGTTGGGTCTTGTGCGTTGTACTCGCCAAGACACGGCAAACCCCCAGTAAAATGTAAGCTGCTAGACTTAGGTAAAGTCATAACTCTAGCATACCGCTATACGTACCACAAAGTGACCATCTACTCACCTTTTACGCGAAAAATGCTCCACACGTGACAGTACGAAATACGGGCGACGCACTTTGTAACCAGAATACAGTCGTATACCACCGTCACAAAAAAGTCGGGGGTGAAAGACACACTCGAAAATATTGGTGAAAGGTAGTCTCTGCATCAATTCTGAAGACGTTACTTGCGATGGCACCAAACGGCATGATGGAGAGCGCACCGCTCGAATGCGGTAGCACGCCGCGCGGACGCAAGCAAGCATCGCCAAACAAGAACGCTTGAAACGACAATTCAAGCAGCTCAGCACAAACGCACGCAAAACAAGCACCCTCAAGCAGAGGCACAACACGAAGGGTTCTAATACAATGCGTTTACAGCTCGTCCTTCACATCATCTTCATCCTGCAATAGATCCAGTCAAGAAAAAAAAAAAAAAAGAAGAAGAAAAAAGTGAGCAAAAAGACACGCCAAACGGAAAGCCAGGAAGCAAGATGAAGGACGCACACACCTCGGCTTTCGCGTCTGCTTGCTCCTCTGGAGCCGTATCAGAACCATCAAAGTCATCAGCATCAGCATCAGCATCAGCATCAGCATCAGCATCAGCATCGACACTAGCGTCATCCGACGATGCCGATCCCGCCTCGTCCTCCGCTCCCGCATCCTTGTCCGGAATCACATCAGCTTCATCTGTCTCGGGCACATCAGTGCTGTTGCCCTCAGTCGTGGTGGCATTCACCTTGGGAGCCTTCTTGGGCTTGGGGGCTGGCTTCTTGACGAGATACATCAGTTCGCGCATGAGCTTCTTGTTCTTGTTGACCATGGCTGACGTCTTCAGTACGGGATTCTCGGTCAAAGGTGCTGCGTCCTGCTCTGTCGTCTTATTGGTCAACCAAGCCAGAGTCTCGTTGTACAGTTGCTCCAAGTCCTCAATCTCGCGCTTGGTATACCACTCCGGGGCGTCGTGCAGCGTCTGGTTGGCCGCAATGGTCTTCATGCGACCCACAAAGGTGATCGTCATGTTCAGTGTCTGCTTCAGATCGGCCAACACCTGAGGGCGCTCTCGCATCTCTCGCACGCGGTACTCCACGTCTTTCATCGAGCCGTTGAGCTGTTCCAGGTGCTCTTCAAAGGCTTCAAACTCCGCCTCCCAGCCGTCCTCATCCAGCCAGTCCGAGACTTCGCCGAGGCGAGTGTTGATAGACTCACGCAACTCGTCGGTCGTCACGCGGGTATACTCTTCCTCCAGCAACTTGTCGCGGGTAGTGTAGATGAAAGTCTCAAGAGTATTCTGCGCCTTCTCAGTACGGCGCTTACGGTCCTCGGTAGCCTTGAGCGCTACCAGACGCGCACGCGCCTCGGTAAACGCAGCGCCAACCAAACCACGCAAATCGTGCAGAGTATGACGATCCTCCAAGACGACGCGAATATTGTTCTCCTTCGTTGCCTTGGCAGATGCGGCAGTCGTAGTGTTCCGCTGGCTCGTCTCTTCGGTCTTGGTTGCATTACTGCTGTCACCGGCATCATCGGTCGCACCCTCTGTGGTTGTCTTCTCGGTGCTCTCGGCCGGCTTGGATTCTGAGTCGGCCGGCTTCTCCTGCGACGGCTCAGCATGAGGCGTACCGTCTGTCGCGCCATTATCAGGAGCGGCATCGTCTTCTGACTCGTCATCCTCAGCAGCCTTCTCGCCATCGCCAAACAGACTGCCTAGGCCAATCGAGTCGCCAATCTTCTTCAGCATTGACTCCTCCTCGGCCTCGGCCTCGAATTGCACCTCAATGCGCGAGACGTTGACCAGGCCGCTGAGATCCAGCTCAAAGCGCACTTTGACGCCCTGAAAGGTGGCATTGGGATGCGCGGCCACAGCGGCAGCCACACCATCCACAGCGTGCGTGCCAACCAACAGTCCTGCCAAGCTAAGCACGGCGACAGCGGCAGCAGACAAAAAGGCAAAAGCGTTCAAGTTCCATTGAGCAAGCACATCAATGCAGAAGTGCCCATCCGAGCCAGAGCGGATCAGTCACTTACCCATCACTGGCATTGGCACCATACTTGAGCTCAAACTCAAAGTCCTCTGTGATGTTCAGCTTCAATGTCTAAATGACAGACCAACCAAAGACAATCAAAAACGATGTTGACCATTCGTTGCAGCCACCAGTTTCAAAAGGAATTAAAGCAAGAACGACCGACCAATGGAGCCAATCACACAACAACCAAAGCCTTACCTTGCGGGTGGGAAAGGATGTAAAAGCAGGGAACACGGTCGCATTGAGAGGCTTGACGGACGTTGAGCCATCCTCATCCACAACGGTGCGTTGCGTGAACATCTAGCGTCGATGGCAGTTTGTCATTAG